ATCCATTTCACATCCTCCACGTCCATTCCACCCAGGCCTTTCAATATTCTGTAAGTTTCAATCAGATTCCCCTTCATCCTTCTAAACTCGATGCAGTTCAGATCCAGAGTCATCAACTGCTCTCAGATGACAAGGCCTTCATTCCTGGGATCATTCTTGTAACCTGCTCTGGACTCATGCCAAAGCCTGCACAATGTTCCATAGATACGGGTCCAAAACTGCTCGCAAGATTCCAAATGCGAGCTGATCGAGCTTTATATAGCTTTAGCAGTAAATTTCTGTTCTTGTATTCTAGTCCGCTTGAAATGAGTGCTAACATTACATTTGCTTTCTGAACTGCCAATTGAACCTGGATGTTAACCTTAAGAGAATCCTGAACTAGAACTCCCAAATCCTTTTGTGCTTCAGATTTCTAAGGCCTTTCCCCGTTTATAAGATCGTCTATGCCTCTATTCTTTCAACCAAAGTGCATAACCTCAGACTTTTCTACATAGTATTCTACCTGCCACTTCTTTGCCCAACTTTTTTTCTCTCCAAGCTTGTAAAAGTCTTTTTGCAGCCTGCCCACTTCCTCAACACGATCTGGCCCTCCATCTACCTTTGCGCCATCTGCAAACTTAGCAACAATACCCTCACTTCCCGGGAATGTGGTACTCAGTTGCATGGAAAATTATAAAATCAATGGTTAAAAAAATAGGATTGCAGGTTAGTGATGGGGTTGACTGTTAACAGAAAAATAAAACAAAGTGACAGACAGAATGCATGAATGTCATATTGCACAAAGGAACCATAAAACTGTAGGAATATTTGAGAATAGAACAAACCTAAAAGCTTTGTACCTTGATGCATGAAGCATTTGGAGTAAGATAGATGGACTGATGTCACAGCCATTACAGAAATATGGTTAAAGGAGATCAAAACTAGCAACTTAACATTCAGGGATATTTGACCTTTCAGAGAGACAGGAAGGGTGGAAAATATGGTGGGGTAGCACTGCTAATAAGAATTAAAATGAGGGCACTTGAGAGTGATGATCTAGGCTTAGATGACATATAATTCATTTGGGCAACAGTAAGGGAAAAAAAGATGTTGGTAGGAGTAGTGTACAGACCTCCGAACAGTAGCTTCTCTGTGGGAAAGGCTAGAAATCAACAAATAATAGGTGAATGTAAAAGGAATAGAGCAATAACTATGGGTGACTTTAATCTTCATGTTGATCAGGTTAATCAAATTGGAAAGGTTAGCTATGAAAACAAATTCAGAGAGCATTAGGACTAGTTTCTTAAAGCAATATGTCATGGAGCCAACCAGGCAGCAGGCTATCTTGGATCTAGAATGACTGAAGCCTGCTAACAACCATAACAAGCTTCCTGGCTTTATATCTGTGCTAAACAGCAAGGAAAGGCAGAAGTAATATGAGCTAACATCCACAAGACAAATTTAATAAATTACCTCTGAGTAAAAGGTCCCCTAGGACGTTATGATCATAGCATGATAGAACTTAATACTCAGTTTGAGAGTGTGAAACTTTGGTCAGAAACAACTGTGTTTAACTCAAATTAAGAGCACTGCAAATGAAATCAGCATAGAGTTAGCTAAAGTGAACTGGGCAGATAGATTAGCAGGAATGACAGTAAGCAAACAGGGCAAACATTTAAGGAAGAATTTTTAACTCTCAGGAAAAAAAATACATCCTGGTAAGGAGGAAAGATTCTAAGAGAAGGATAAACCAACCATGTCTATCCAAGGAAGTTAAAGTTATTAAATTGAAAGAAACAGCATACAAGGAGGCCAAAGTCTGTCATAGCCCAGAACACTGGGGTAAATTCACAATTCAGCAAAAAAGGATTGAAAAGAAAATAAAGATAGAGAAAATAAACTAACACGGGATATTAAAACTGATAATAAGAGCTTCTTTAAATATGAAAGGAAGAGAGAGGTTCAAATGAACATAGGCCCCAAAGAAAGTGAACCTGGGGAAATGTTTTTGGGGAATAAGAAAATGGTAGAGATAAACAGACATTTTGCATCAGTTTTGACAGTGGAAGTTACGTCAATTATCCCACTAATACTAAACAATAAAGGCCAGGAATGAAGTACCACCATCATCACTAAAAAAGTATTAATAGACAAAATAATGGGGCTAAAGGTACTAAATTCCCTGGCCCTCATGGCTTGAATCCGAGAATTCTAAAAGAGTTAGCTGCAGGGGAATAGATGCAATGGCTGTAATTTTCCAAAAATCATTGGATTCTTGATTTTTGATTTTGATTTATTACTGTCAAATGTACCTAGATACAGTGAAAAGCATTGTTTTGCATGCTATACAGGCAAAGTATCACAGGATTGGAAAACTACAAATTTGACACAGCTATTCAAAAAGAGAGGGAGGCAAAAAGTAGGTACCTATGCTCCGTTTACCAATCATCTATTGTTGGAAAACTACTGGAATCAATTATTAAGGAAGTAATAAAATCATAATCTACTCAAGCAGAGTCATGAAAGGGAAAGCCTGTCTGACTAATGTATTAGGAACAAAAACAGAAGTTGCTGGAAAAGCTCAGCAGGTCTGGCAGCATCTGTGAAGAAAAGATCAGAGTTAACGTTTCAGGTCCAATGGCCCTTCCTCAGAACTGTTCAGTTCTGTTTCACTGCTGTCAGTGCTGCCAGACCTGCTGAGTTTTTCCAGCAACTTCTGTTTTTGTTCCCGATTTACAGCATCTGCAGTTCTTTCCGTTTTTATTTTGACTAATGTATTAGTTTTTCGAGGAAGTCTCAAAAGAGAGTGGATAGAGGGGAAGCGGTACATGTGTTCCATTTGGGCTTCCAGAAGGTTTTGCCAAGGTTCTTCACAAAAGACTAAGTCATAAGATAAGAGTCCAAGGTGTTGGGAGGTAATATATTGGCATGGATGCAGAATTGGTACATGGGCAGGAAACAGCCAGTGGTATTGGTGACTTGTGATCAGTGGGGTTCCACAGAAATCACTGCTGGGACCACTACTGTTTACAATATATATTAATGACTTTGAGGAAGGAAGGGCGTTTACTGACACCCAGTTTGCAGATGACACAAATAGGTGGAAAGGCAGGTTGTGAGAAGAATACAGACAGTTTACAGAGAGATATTGATAGGTTAAATAAGTGAACAAAAAAGTGGCAAATGGAGTATAATGTGATAAAATGTGAAGTTGATCATTTTGGAAGAGAGAACAAAATAACAGAATATTACTTAAATGGAGAAAAGCTGCAGAAAGTTAAACACAAGGGAGTGAGAGGTTCTTGTGTACTAAAGACAGACAGCTAGCACACAGATGCAGCAGATAATCAGGAAGTTTAACAGAATGTTGGTTCTTATTTCAAGGGGCTTGGAGTATAAAAGTCAGGAAATCTTACTGCAACTGTACAAGGTAGTGGTAGACCACATCTGGAGTACTGAGAGCAGTTTTGGTCCCCTTATTTAAGAAGATATCATTACATTGGATGTGGTTCAGAGAATGTTCACTAGGATGATCCCTGGGATGGAAGGATTGTCTTATGAGCAAAGGCTAAACAGGTTGGGACTCTACTCACTGAAGTTTAGAAGAATGACAGGTGATCTCATTGAAACCCACTGGATTCTGAAGGGGCTTGCCATGGTAAATGCTAAAACAATGTTTCCCGTCATGGGACAGTCTAGGATCAGAGGGCATAAAGAATAAAGGATCAATTTAACATGGAAATGAGGAGAAACTTCTTCTCTCAGAGGAGTGAGAGTCTTTGGAACTCCCTGCCACAGAGAACTGTGAGGCCAGAGTCCTTGTGTATATTTAAGGCTGAGATGGATAGATTCTTAATCAATACAGGAATCAAAGTTTACAGGGAAAAAGCAGCGAAGTCGATGTGGAGAATTTGGATATGCCATGATTTTATTGAACGGCAGAACAGCCTTGAGGGGGCCGAATGGCCTACTTCTGTTCCTATTTCTTACGAACAGAAGGAGTCAAAAGATGTGGTTGGCTGCCCAATATTTGGCTCCCGGCCCCTTATGTGGACAATATCCTGACTCTGACTGCCCTGAGTGGCTGATTCACCATGTTCAAGCCCATGAACTGGTATTGGAGACTGTTCTTCACTAAGCACTGACTAAAGGTTCTCCCCTTTGACTTGACTGTGACCGGCCAACAACATAGACAAGCTTCCTGGCTTTATGTGAGTGAGCACTATGATAAGAGCACAGAGCCCAGAAATGCAACCTGGTCCAGTTTATGAGCTTGGTTTGTATCCCTGACTGCAGATTGCCCTTGCAGTAGTGTTACAATAATATTTGCCAGTGCACAAGTGTCCATTAAACAAATCACAGATATGCCAGGAAGGGCTTTACAGGCTGACATGTATTGGATGCCAATGGCTGTAGATGTGGGGTTAGCATGCCCTGAGATATTGGGGTCCTTTGGAGCTCAAATGGTGAGCTGAATTTACCAGGTTCCCTTCCTGATTTCCATGTAAAGATTTCTTGACATCTAGTTTGTTTGGCAGATTTGGACTCCTTATCTGATTCTGCCAATTATCTCGCCATATCTCAGGATACTCAGACTCCTTTAAGATTCTGTCCTAGGAAACTGTCTGGGATGGAGGAAAAATTAAATAAGCTAGTAAGTTAGGACTGTTTTCCTTGGAGTAGCAAAGGTTGAGAGAGCATCTGACAGAGATGTGTAAGATTATGATTAGCACAGATCGGGTGAAGGGGGAGGTTCTTTTGCCATTAGTAGAGGGGGAAATAATGGGGGGACACAGATTTAAGGCAAGATGTAGAAGGCTGAGACAAAAGTTGAGGAGAATCTTTTTCACGCATATTGTGGTAAGAGTCTGGAACTCTTAAGTCTGTCTTAATATTTTTTGTATGGAGCTAAGCTGTTAAAAGATGTTGTTATGGTAGTTGCTTATTCTGTATAGTTTATCATCATGAATCAGCAGCCGAATTTCAGTGAAATTGTATTCATTACGGAAACTTACACTTACCTTGTAGTGGTAAACATAGAACTTTAGCTACATTGTCTTGAAAAGCATGGTATGCCTGCTTAATTGCTTGCAAAAGTGTCTCCATGAATTTCATTTGAATATCATACGTGGATTTGTGGAAATCCAGCTCGGCTTGTTGAGCTTTAACCTAGAAGACAGGAAAGCATTTGCACAGAACTTTGAATGACAGTTTGCTTTGTGAATTTTCTGTTCCTGCTGCAATAATTTAACACTCTATATCCTGAGTATCGATGTCAGCTGTGCTTTAAAATTCTATGCACTATTTAAGAATTTAAAAGTTATTTGCTACTACAAAATAAATTATTTGCTTTACAGGCATTACAATTGGGTTTATAATATTTTTATGTTTTGTGGCTGCGGGCACAACTTTCCAAATTTTAGCTAAAGTGTGGGGGTGGGCATGGTAGGTGCAACTGACGTCACCTCTGAGATAACTCAAGCAATCATGCTTGGTAAGAGCTGACAGGCATAGCACTGGCAGGCTTCTAAGTTTATTGCAGGCTTCAACATTAAATCCCAGGTCTGCAGCTTTTGGGTCCAAATGACTGCTGTTTGGGCCCTCTCTACACTGGAGAAGTTAAGTATATTATACCTTTTTGTAACAGGTAGTGGTCCATGGGGAGAGGGGAAGTTAAGAACAAGGGTAGGAGTTTGGCTTTCTGAGGCCACCCCATTGCCTCCAATTGTCCCTAGATTGGAACAATTGCACGGCCTCAACAAAACCTGGCAGACAGCTTGTTTTGGTTCCAAATTGAGAAACTAGCCACCTGTTTTGCCTGCAGCAAAGGCATGTAATTGTGGAGGTGGTGAGTGTAGGATCACGAGTGAACATTAATTAGCTACTTAAGGGCCTTAATTGGTGGCAGGTCCAGAAAATTCCCAAGGGACTTTGGTGAGGTTGTAAAAAGTGGGCAAATTATCTTTCCAAGATCAGCTCACCCAATTATTTTTCCTTCTTGCCACCATCTATGAAGAGAATATCCCACCCTGTGTCTTGAACCTTATTTGAAGATGAAGGGACCATGTGACCTATTGTATACACATGAACATGAGCAGGTCATTCAGCCTTCTCTGCTATTTAATACAACCATGGCTGATTCAACATTTCTACTGCTATTACATAGTCCAAATAACCCTTTACACCAATGATAATCAAGCATTTATCAAATTCTAAATATACATAAAGACTGAGCTTCCACAGCCCTCTGGGTAGAGGATTTCAAAGATTTGCCATGATCCGTGTTAAATAACTTCTCCTCATCCTGGCCTTAAACAATATCCCTTTATTTTTAAATTGTGCCCCGTGGTTCTAGACTCTCCAACCAGGATTAATATCTACTCTGCCTATCCTTTAAATATTTTACAGGTTTCAATGAGATCACCTCTCATTCTTCTACAGGCCTGATTTTTCCAATCTCTCACAGGACAGTGTAGAACAACTCTGGTGAATCTTTGTTGCACTCTCTGCATGACAATAACATCTTCTCTGAGACAAGAAGATCAAAACTGCACACAGTATTTCAGATGCACCCCAAAAAGCTTCTAATCGTATGAGGCAAGATTTCACACCTCCTGTTCAACAATCTCCTTGTGACGAAGACTAACATTCCATTAACGTTTTCAATAACTTTTTGGACCTGTACATTGAATCTGCATATTAGCCTTCAGTGATTTACTGACAAGGATAACCCCAAGTCCCTTTGCAACCTACACTTTCCAACATTTCATCAAGAAATACATATAACTCACATATTATAATCTTTAACCTATTTCTGAAAAAGTACTCTAACAAGTTTTAATTTGGTTACCTGTTGCAAAACCATTAGCCTGGAGTAGTTAACTGCTTTTACTAAGGCCTCAACAGCCTTCCTTGCCTGCCGTTGAGTAGGACCTTTCAGAAAAGGAGGTAGCACTGAAAGCATATTCTCCACAGTGAATTCCTGGCAGACTGGATGTTTTAGTTTTGCCTGTAAAAGATGACATGGCCAGTCATGATGAATAGAGTGTTTTATTTGTAGAAAAATCCATACAAAATTTAAATGAAACATATGTGAAAGCAAATACATTTTGTACTGCACAGAAAAACAAAATCAGAGATAGTGAGCACCGATTACAGAAACAGAAGTTTTTTAAGCTGACAGTCCATTATCATTGTTTCACATGTGATATCGTAATACAGGTAGCTCTGGGCTCAGTAATAGCCCCCATGGAGGCAGGAAACAGGAGTCAGGACTTTTTTTGTTCAGGTCTCAAACCAGCCAACAGTAGAAACAGATTAAGGTCAAGATTTTCAAGTGGGCGACCCCTTAACTGGCACTAGAGATATGTTGTCTGTACAATTAAGGGTAGTAGTTGGGCTCTTGAAGCTATAGGGCCAATCAGAAGCCTTCATAGAAGTTCCTAGTACAACATTAGTGACTGAGTAACAAGACGGTGCCCTGCACAGCCATGTTTTAAAAAATATGATTTAAAAGCTCAAAAGGAAGTTGAGCAAGAATGAGGGAGTGGTGCAGGAGGTGGGAATCCCTCCATAGGCTGGCCTTTGGCTATACTTGCATCCAGGGCAGACTGACAGCCATCAGGCCTGTCGGGGTGCTGAAACTCAGTCTGCCATTGAGTGCCCAAATCGAGAAAGCTTATCTGTCCACCATCATGTTGAGAAATTAGAGACAACTGGACAATCCCAGTCAGCCTCCTTAACTCTTACTCAAAAAGGTTTAATGATCCTAATTGCCTGTCTACCTCTTGGGCGTAGACCACCTTCCCAGACTTTGAACCATCAGCAATGCTTTCACTGCATACTTCAGATTCAACATGAGGAGCATGAGCCAAACACTAGTGTTTGTCTTGCTGCTGTACAAGCGTTCAGTAAAACTACAACGGACTGGAAGCTATGCCTGGCCAGAGAGTTCTCCCCTGCCAGGTCCTGATTCCTCAAATCTCAAATGGTCGAAGTTCTAAGGATGAACAAAGACACTACTTTGCAGAGCAGTGGCAGAGAATGGTGTAGCAGGCCATTTGGCCTATCATGTCTGCACAAGCTCTCCAAATGAACACCATGATTTAATGCAATTTTCTTGCATTTGCCACACCCTTGTATATTGTTTCCATTTAAATAATCATCCAATACCACTTTGTATGCTTTTACTATAATTCCAGGAAGTGCATTCCAGACCTGAATGACTCGTGAAAAAGTCTTTTTCTCATATTTGCTTCTTTTACAAATCACTTTAAAATTGTGCCCCCTCATACTTAAAACTTTTTACAGACAGGAACTGTTTCTCCTTATCTATTCTATCCAACCTTCTCATGATTGTTGAAAAGTTGTATCGGATCACCTCTTAGTTTTCTTCTCTCCAAGGGGTACAGTCCAACCTCTCCAATTTACCCTTATAACGTAAGTTTCTCATCCCTGGAACCATCCTTGTAAACTTCTTTTCCATTTTCTCCATGACGTTCATAATTTCCCTATAGATAGATGCTGAGAATTTACGCAATAGTCCAGCGAAGACCTACAATTGTCTTATACAAATTCAGCATCACCTCCCTGCTCTTGTACTCTATGCCCCCAATAAATAAGCTCAGAATATGATATTGCTTTATTAACTGCACCATTCACCTATTCTGTCACCTTGAATGATCCATACACGCATACACACAGGTCTATCGGCTGTTGTACCCCTTTTCAAATTGTATTACTTACTTCATATGGTCAGTCCATGGTCTTCCAAACTACATTACTTCACACTTCTCTGCATTGAACTTCATCTGTCACCTATCTACACACTCAACAAACCTGTCAATGTCCTTTTGAAGTTTTACACTGACCTCCTCCCAGTTTACAGTGCTTCCAAGTGCATCTGCAAACTTTGAAATTGTTCCCTGCACACCAAGATCTAGATCATTAATACATACCAGGAAAAGAAACAGACCAATATCCATCTCTGATGAACTCCACTAAAAACATTTCTTCAGCCAGAAAAATATCCATTGACCACGACGCTCAGTTTCCTATTAATCAGCCAATTCTATAACAACATTGCTACTGTCCCTTTTATTCTATGAGCTGCGACATTTCTTCAGGTCTATTGTGTGGCACTGTATCAAACACCTTCTGGAAGACCATGTACACCACATTAACACCATTATTCTCATTGACCCCTTCCTTCACCTCTTCAAAAACTCCATCAAGTTAGTTAAACATTACTTCTCCTTTAGAAGTCTATGCTAGCTCTCACTAATCAGCTCATCTTTTCCTACGTGACTACTCATCCTATTCTGAATATTGGTTTCTAGAAGCTTCCACAGCAATGAAGTTAAACTTACTCTGGTTACTGGGTTTATCTTTACAACCTGTTTTGACCAACCATGTGATGCTAGAAATTCTCTAGTCTTACAGAAAGCAAAAAAAATAGAAAATTCTGAACTCATGATCCCAGCTCATGTGGGATATCCTACATAGAAAAATAGAAAATAGGAAATCTGCTTTTGTGGCTGGAGATCTGCAAATTGAAAATTGGCTTGTCCAGCCACATTAAGGTCCATGGCAGAAATCCATAACACCTTAAAGAGTGAAACTGACAGACTGGTTGATTAGAAGATGTTTCCGCGTGTTGGGAAAGTCTGTTTCACTGACTAATCCAGTTAAGTCAATACCTTTGGTGCAACTTTCCTCCTCTAAACTGAAGCAGAAATCCAGTTCAAGCATCTGTGACAATCTTCAGCCAACTGTATTTCCTCACCTAACGATCTTGAATAGTTAAATACTATCTCCTCAGACATTTTGCTAATTCAACATTCTAGTTTGCTATTGCCATAAATGGAACTAGATAGTTTATATTTTTACAAGCAAAGCTATTCAATGAGACTATGCTGTTAAAGTTCTTTAACACAAATTATCTGGAGTCCTGCTTAATGCAAGCCAGCAATATAATCTAATCATACGTACCTTCAAATCCATGAAGAAATTTATCACTAGCACAAAGGATGCTGTGATATTGACTCAAATAATGAGTCACTGATCAGCAAATTTAATGAGGCATGCATTTCATTTATTATTCGCACACTACTCTCTAATTGAGTTCTTGAAAATTCAATAGAACTCTGGCTTTTGTTGCTAGTGTCAGAATATTCTGTTGGATTGATGATAATAAACCATGTAAAGTCAACTACTTTGAAGATATGTGCTGGTTGTTCTTTTTACTGTTGATTATTTTAAATTAATCTTTATTGTGATCCAAAGGTTCTGGCTAGACATTCTGTACAGAGGAGTGGCTTAAATTCTTTGTTTCAATTCATTATCTTTTCAATTTCACCACAGTAAAATCAAAAAATATTTCACTCTAAAATTTTAAAGGATGATTTGCATTACAATTAAATAGCAGCAACCTTCCTATAATATGCCTATCTTTTGTTCGTCGATTGGGGTGTCACACTTGTTAAGCAGCATGACAATGTTTTTCTTGGTTGTCCTATTGTTTATTAAATTTTGACTAATATGCATCTCTGAACTAAAAAGAAGGATTCAGCTGTACTAGCAGTGAAACAAAGGAAGCAACAGTTGAATTTGTTTTCATGAAAGGATGTTTGACACAACTTCTTTAAGTTACTAGGACCTAAATTTCTACAGGAATGGAAGGGTTCTCCAGCTCAGCCAACAAGCAACAATGTCCCAATTCCGCATGTTCTCTCCCCTCTCCCCCCAACAAAATCGAATTTGGCACCCATCAAATTTACTGGGGTGAATCGGCTGTGTTATTGTTTACACATAAATGGTTCAGAGAGGCAGGTGCACATTGACAAGGTTATCTTCAAACAGATATAATTTTAGCAGGATGTCCAAAACATGACCTTTACAGAAATGAAGGTGCATAAAAAGTGAATAAGCACTGTGGAACAGTCAAACAGTCGAGGCATTTATATCTCTTGCCCTTTAAATTTTAAAGAAAACATCTGCAGTTATAAAAAAAAGTCAGCGTTTTCAATTCCAGTTTCTTGTTGACACAAGATGAGGGTTATTATTATAGGATTAGTGATCGCATGATTGATTCCACAATCTATCCTCATTTCTGAAGAAGGGTTGCAACCCAAAACATCAACTTTCCTGCTCCGCTGATGCTGCCTGGCCTGCTGTGCTCCTCTAGCTCTACACTGTGTTATCTCTGACTCCAGCATCGGCAGTTCTTACTATCTCTATCCTCAGAATGAAGTGTCTTTCAGGTTTCAGTTTGGTAAATCAAAGAAGTTACAGTGTCTTTGATATGGTGCTATGAACACAAATGTGTGTTTTCATAAGGGAAAACTGTTTGAATGTAATGTTTGCTTTTAAAAGGGATTAAGCAGTTGAATAAATTTAAATGTATTAATTAGGTTTTTATGAATGACGGAAGTTAAAGTATGCCATAGACGCTCAGGACATAATTTCACTAAAGCTCAGCACACCTCCTGAATTCTTTCCATGGCAGATACTGGGTGGCAAGTATACCTTTCCTTTGATAATGAGAGCAAAACTATACACAGCCGCACTAAGATTCCATATAACTACAGCAAGATATTTTTAAACCTAAACTCAAATTCCATCGAAATGAAGGCCAAAATAACATTTGAACAAAAACAGAAAGTCCTGGAGAAACTCATCCGGTCTGGCAGCATCTGCAGAGAGAAAAACAGTGTTAACGCTTTGAGTCCAATGATCTTTCATCAGTACTGAAAACAGCAAGGAAAGGGTGGTACTTATATTGATGGCAGGTGGGAGGAGAGAATGGTGTATATGGACACTGGGCCCAGGGAGAGAAAAAAAAAATAGGTAAACAAATGGATTGTTAGTGGCAAACTGAGAGAGATAAATGCCAAATAGGATGCTAATGAGAAGTGTGTTTGGCTGAAAATGTGATGGCTGTGCTGGGGGCAAACCATATAAAACAAAACCTTGGGATGTGGGAAGGGTAATGAACATAAGAGGATGGTG